TTGCATGCCCCCCCCCGTCTTTTTCTGTCTCTCTCAGTTTCACTCCCTTGTCTGTTTTACATCGTCCCAGCTGAGAAAACCAACGCAAGGCCTCTTGGCAAAGGCGATGGAGCCAGAAGATGACTGCAGTAAGAAGGCGCAGAGAGGGGCCTTTCACATGAAAAGAGGAAAGAGCTTTGAAAGGGAGTATTGTGCTCTTCGCTGTGATTCAGTCCAGTCTGCAGCCAGCACATAACTCTCGCTTTGAATCGGGCTAGTTTTAGCCATAGCAACATTCAGGCTCCAGTGCTTCAGTGCTCCAGTTGAATTGGTGCCGCCTTTTCTTCTAGCTCAAGAGAAGACAAATTAGAATAGTGTGTGAGAAAGATGCTAAATTTGGTCTTGACCAAACCAAGGACTTAAGGAGACTGTCAGATGGTTTTCATCATATCATGCTATACTTTCAGATACGAATCAATTTAACGAAATATGTACTCTTTGTACTTTGCAGTGGTGAAGATGAACCATTTGAAATCAATGATTCATATCTTTTATCTTTTCAAATTGACATGTGTAATGAAACTATGATGATGATGATGATGAGGATGAGGATGAGGATGAGGATGAGGATGATGATTATTTGGAATGTCCGATACCACTTTTATCTTCAGAACAATACCAATATGAGTACTTAATGATACCATGTACAGATGCCTCTGGCAATTTTGATTTATCAAGTGTCCTTTAACACAAGGACATAACATTGTGAACAAAGTCCTTTCTTTCTGACGCAGATGATGATTTGCAGTTGTGACAAGCTGCCGCAGTATCGCGTCAACTACTGCCAAGGAGGACTAACTCAATGGCAGAATATTTTTTTGACCTTTAGTATTGGTGGCCTATATAGGAGTAACTGAGGTTGTGCGGGATTTTCAGAAGTGTATTTTGGGAGATGGATGAGCGAGACAGGAGAAAATTGCTACTTCCTGTACATTTTTTATGAGGCTCATCCATCCAACGAAAAAAAAAGTGTGACTCTCATTTTCTGAGTTGCAGGAGACCAATTTACCCCCTCTAAAAGCTTCACATGAAATTTTCCCGAAGTGTGTCACTCAATTGTGGCTTTGGAAACAACACCCAGTACTTACACGTCATCCCAGAGTTATTCCTTCAAACCCAGTCATGGGTGTCTGCCGGGAGTCAATCCAGCACATTCTTCAAGCACAGAGTAGCACAGTGTCCACCAACATGTGTGGGGCTGCCATGACACACAGCTGCAGCAAAGCGGGGTAAATAGGGCAAGCTGGGGAGGGGGGCTGCGGAGGTGGGGCAGGGGGGGTCAGAGGAAGGAAGAGGAGAGGAAGTTTGTTGGGGGCGGGTTCTTCCTTTTCACCGGATTCACGGGGGAGGAGGTGGTGAAGGCAAAGAGGCACCAACTTCCTGTCCCGTCACAGATGGCAATGACATCACATCCTGCTCTTTCCTAATGAGGATCAGATGTAACCTTCTGTGGTGGGAAATGAGGTGTTGCTTTTTTTCCTGTAGCTGGACAACAATTAATGTAGAGGCCATTTGTTTTGGTGCGCTAAGCTTTGGGTAACTGTTTCCTCACCGACGCTCTGCTTATTGTTGTCTTTTATTTATTTAAAATATTTATATTGAAAGATACTTGGAGTTCTTTGCTTATACTAAGACATAAACATATTTACAGATAAGTATTCTTCTTTTCCCACCTAAAACACTTTATTTACACAGACTTGCAAATTTACACCTATGAACAAATTTAAATCCTCCATGACCGTCACATGGATGTTTTTGAAACGCGGGAATATTTGGAGAATACACGACGGGACAAGCAGCACACACAAACTGGCCTGACCTGAGATTTGAACCCAGAACCTCTGGACTCTGGTGCAGATGTGCTAACCACTTTTTCCAAATAATAATGGAAAAAAATTCTCCATCAGTATTTGTTCTTTGACTCTGGCGCAGATGTGCTAACCACTTTTCCAATCAATAATGAAAAAAAAAGTTTTTGTTCTTCTCTATTGTGTCTTTGTTGTCTGACGAATGTTATTAAGGTCATCCATGATATTGGATAATTCTGCGTTACGTCACAGGATTTATTTCTAATGTGGATTTGTATTTGTGTTGCTGTGTCTAATGAGTGGGAATGTGCCTAATGAGGTGAGGCGGAAGGGGGCTGTAAAGGGGCCACCAGAGAACAAGCGCTTCTCTATTCTGTGTCACCACATTCAGCGACACAGAGACACAACCAGTCTCTGTGAGTCATCAACTGATAAAGTGACTTTGAAACTATACATTAGACGGCCCACAATAAAGATTCTTTCTATTCCCGTCTGCCCCCCCGCCCCTTGACACTTCATCAGTCATGTGCTACACTAGCATATTAGCGGCAATACTCATTGGCTGGGTGCATGGGAAACCATATTTGGAAATAAAATGTCATTGTGGTTTTTTTAATGTATGAGAGGGAGTGTTTCTATGTTCTGACTGCATTTATTTTGCGGGCAACATGGTTATAGTCCTCTTTGTCGTGGTTCATGGTTTACAACAGTTATGCGAAACCTGAAGATTTGCAGGATAAACCCGGAGACCCGTCTCATTTCACACATTAGCCAATCACACTTGCCATCTGGTTTTACTTTGCTTCTTTTTACACAGTTATGCAAGAAGAAAAATATTTTTAAATAACCTGCAACCATGCCAACATCCAACATTAAAACCAACTGTTTTCTTTTTTTCCACGTCGTAAGTGTCAATGGCAACTAACATATTTTTGGGCATTTAATTGACAGTAAAAACTGTTACCGAAAAGTAAAGTTGTCTTCTACTGTAGGTTCTAACATGGCAGTATGACAGAATAATGACGTTCCATTTGCTAAAATGAGGATGATCTTCCTTTTAAATCTGAAATGGGAATCGAGATCGTGTGAGAATGTCAACATCCCACCAAAGAATCAAACTGGGCCAAAGTGCTGTACTATGTCTGACTCATCAATGTGTGTGAGTGTGTGTGCGCGCATTTCCTGGATTTGGGCTCTGACTAATGGTTCAATGTGTTTGTCTTCCTGCAGCTCAGCAAGACCACACCAACTTAGCTGCTGCACAGATTAAACGCAAGGAGGGGAGAACAGCGTGCTCATTGGGGCTGACGGTTACCACAGCAACCACGGAACACAATGAGAGAGAGGCGGGGAGAGAGTCAGCCATTTTGTCTACATGCAAAAGACTATGTCAGATGTCCCTATGTTGCTAATGGCCTTTTTTTTCAAGCAAGAAAGCTCAACATTGCTTTAGAGCTTCAGGAGGAACAACATATTTCATCATAGATACATTTCTGTGTGTCACATGTGCTGACTTGCTCAATACTCATGACTGATTGTTTAGTTTGTTCATGATAGGTGAATAGTTCCTGTGTAATGAATCAAGAGGCTCACGTAGTCAGACAGCACCATTTTCCTGCGATAGCAACAATGGCAATCAAAGCATAATCCATGTTTAGTCAAAGTAGCGGGGCCTCACTCGTGCAAGTCTCCGAGATATTTTTGAAGTCAAATTCACCATCGAGCGTTTGTTCACACATTTAAAAAGCTGCATCGGGACGCCGCCCTCAATCCACATCTCCTCCGTGCTTCCATCCCCCAACATCTGCAGCATGCAGCGAGTCACCGAACCACTCGCTTGCTCCGACACGGTGACATCTCGGCAGGCTATTTATAGATGTTTTTGCATCAGAGCAGTGCATGAATGTTTTGGTTGGTTGTATAACAATGACGTTGTTTTTGAGATGAATTTTGTTCCTGTTTGTATACTCATCAGACACTTCATCCAAGGTTTTCAATCAAGAGAACAGTGAAATTCTTGCTTTGGCCACATTTTGAATGGCACTGTCAGAACGATATTTTCATTGTACTCCATCATACTGAGGGCATCCAACATACTGATACACTACCGGTACACGATGTGATTGATTCCATTCCAACCGCTTGTTGGTTGTTGCTTAATGTGTTGAGGAGTGATTGTTCTGCGTCCAAAGACTTTCACAGTTACGGATTGTAGCCTATTTCTCTTCTTATCATTTGTTTGTGTCAAATGTTATTTTGTAGACTGATGTTTGAAAATTTGATTAGAATGGAAACAAGGCAAAGAAATCTGGGATGCATTGGAACTTCTCAACCAGGATGTTGCTAGAAATCAAGGGTGAAGCGGGAAATGATGTAATTTAACTTAATTTGTTTGAAAAATTTTTATTAATCACAAATACATCTTAATTAATCTTCCCATGGCATCAACTTATAGTGACAGGCAGAACAAATAGATGGCAGACGGTACAAAATAGTCGTTTGTACAACGGAATACATTATGGCTTCGTGTGACTATATCAAATCTTTTTGTTCAACCAAACTTTTTCACTCTGAGTATGTCAGTTTGTGAGTAAATTCTGTTGAGGTCATCATTTTTTCAGTACAGTATTCCTGCTTTTTTGTGTCATTTTTCATTCGTAGTGTGCCATGAGAGTGTCCTAATGCCAAGTAATGTGCTTTGGCTCAATAAAGGTTGGGAAACACTGCATTTGATGGCATTGTTGTGTTGTATTGTTATGGAGTGCGGCGACATGGTGGGCGACTGGTTAGCACGTCAGCTTCACAGTGCAGAGGTCCCTGGTTCGATTCCGGGCCCCAGCCTTCCTGTGTGGAGTATGCAGGTTCTCCCCGTGCCTCCGTGGGTTTTCTCCGGGTACTGCGCTTTCCTCCCACATTCCAAAAATATGCATGGCAGGTTAATGGAACACTCTAAATTGTCCCAATTGACTGTGAGTGTGAATGGTTGTCTTTGTGTGCTCTGCGATTGGTTGGCAACCAGTTCAGGGTGTACCCCGCCCACTGCCCAAAGACAGCGTGGATAGGTCCCAGCATGCCCCCGAACCTTGTGAGGATAAGCGGGTTCGAAAATGGATGGATGTTATGGAGAGAAAACGAGACAAAGACAGTGACAGCTGATTTCGTAATCGTTTTATTTGAAATGTCAGTGTTCAAGAGAAAATAAAACAGCAATATAAATATTAGCATAAAAATGAGAGGGATAAAGCGTGGCGAGGGGAAAGGGGTCTAAGCATTTGATAAGAAAGATAATACAGCATGATAGAGTAGCATTAATTCAGCAGCGGACAGACGTACACATATATAATATTTATACTGTAGTCATTTGTTCATATGGACAGAAAGAATGCACAAGATCAATTCACCGCAAAAAGAACATTGAGAGGTTACAGAAGGATAGAAACATATTCATATTTTTTGTCGTTTCTTTACAGGGCGATAAAAGATAGAAGAGAAAATGAACACAAAAATATGCGCAACACATATCACAGGTTAACTAGTCTACGTGTGTCACTTATCTAAAGTTATCTTTCATTTGTTTTATTTACACTGACGGGTTAGTTGGCATGGTGCTTAGTTACTACATTGCAACACAAACTGTTGAAAAACATCTCAGATTTTCATTTATAATTGTTTTTTTTTTTTAATTTGTTGTTTTCTTAATTTTCTTGGAAAACGAAATGCAACACATTCCAGTAGTGAGCCACGCTTTGTGGAGGACTTTGATTTTGGAAAAAGTTGAACAACGGCGGTCCCTACAACACAAACACCTGGCTCATACCATCAACAGGACTTGTGTTTATTTACAAGTGAGCGAATGGGGATCAGGAGGGGGGGATTTTTAATATTAGCGAAGCTCGAGTATGGTGAGTGGTGTCGCCTCGCCGAACCTTTGACCCCAGCCTAGGTCAGTGCATTTGAGCTAGTGGTGGGCGGGGCAACAGTGATTCTTCTGTACATTCAATGGTTGGAGACGTGGTCGAACAATGATTTGGTGGCGGTCGCCAGAACCTCCAATCTCTCCCGCTCACCAGCCGGACTTCATATCTTACGCGTACAATCGCTCGATGCTATTGCAGCAAACAAAAGAACGTGGACAGTGAGGGCAAAGACTTCATCAGAATGTGATTGATACCCGAGGTCAGTGCAATACTTCAGGTTGGCTCTCAACGCGGGGCGGTGAGGGTCTGAGTTGGGGGCAACTGGACAACACCTGTTGGCTCTCATTGCGGATACATGCTTTGCAGGAGGTTAATGTCTTACTTCTTCGAACTGTGGTTACAAAAGTATTTTTTTGCCAGGTAAATGCTACATGTGGATTCCGTTCACCAGCGACTTGGCAGAGGGCGGGGGAGGGGGCGTGGCGTCCTCCTCTTTTGCTTTTGCAATGCATAGTTTGCAATTCTAAACTAGAACAATGTGGTTTGAACCTTTAAAGAGCATGCAGACGAGTTTGTAATAGCAGTAAAAGAACAGCCTTATTATCTCCGCAAAAGGTATGCTTGAAGATCCTGCAAAGGCCGGGCCTACATCGAAATATCATGGCGACTAGCGTACTCAAAACAGCTGACTTCCCACTTGAGGGAAAGAGCACAATAAATCCAACATGAAAGACAAAACATTTCTCAGAATACATCACTTGCTTTTAAGCTTTGTCAACCTTGGGAGGTTTCTTGTCTTAGCCAAAAGAAAAGAAAAGAAAATCACAATAACCCCCCATACCCAGCCAGCAAATATCGACCGATGACAAGAAGAAGCATTCGGCATTTTCAGACTCCTCCGAGCCTTCAGGGCACTTCCAAAGAACCATCAGAACCGTCCATCGTGCGATAGCCGATGGTGGGGTGTGGGGGGTTTCAGCTCTCGTCAGACCCGAGTGAGCATTCCTCCGCCTCCGTTTCTACTTCTTCTCCTTCTTGGTAGACTTCTTCTTGGAGGCGGGGGTCTGGGCGGCTTTCGGTGGCTCGGGCTGGCCCGGCTGGGGCGGTGGCAGCGCCTGCTGGCTGGCCTGCTGGGCCATGGCCTGCTGCTGCTGCTGCTGAGGATTGGAGGTGAGTGTGGCCGTGCTGCCGGGGATGTAGACATTCTGCCGGTAGTCGGGCACGTGCTGCAGAGTGAATTGGGGGCTGTAGCGGGTGCTCAGGCCCATCGTGCCGGGTCCAAGGGTGCCGGTCGCCTCGCTCACTGTTGGGTGAAAGAGCAGGAGGGGGTGGGGTTGGGGGGGGGGCAATTTATGAGGAAAAAAATCATTTGAAAAGTGGGCAAAACCCGAGATTTTTTTTGCTTTGTGTTGGGAGCCAAAATCGCAAATACAAGTGAGTTTATAATCTTGTGTGTGTGTGTGTGTGTGTGCGTGCGTGTGTCTTTTGGCTTGATTACACTTCATAAAAACAGTTTATTTCTTTATAATGCTTTTTATCAAGTGTTATTATGTTCTTGTATTTCCTTTTAAAAACCTGTAACAAAAGAAGTGTATGCATTAATGCAACTGAGCAAAGGTTTGGATGCAACAAAAAGAGGTTTGAATTACACATATTTAAAAGGTCATTTTGTACTTGACAAAAAAAAAAAAAAAATTGAGTTTTTGAGAAGAAAGTCTTCACTATGCAGGGATGAAAGGGCATGGGCTTGGATAAATGCAAAGTTTTGAGATCATTTTTACTAGTCATGATTTCAATAACAATCAAATATATATTTTTAACATAATGTTCGCCGAGGAAACTAGTAAAACTAGTTCAACTAGTAAAAATGAGCTCAATCTGGGATTTTCGACATACAGATGTGTCAAAACTATGCCTGTTGACGCGAAGCGGCGAAAATGACTACAAAATAATGAGGTCGTTTGAATGTCTGATCGGCATTTCGTGAAGAAACGGGAGATGAGATCTTCGCCGAAACTCGTTTTTATTGACTCTGTGTGGGTTTACAATTTAAATGTGCCTTTTGGACAAAGTTGCAATTTTGTGACTCGCATGAAAAAAAACAATTGTGGGGTGCCATGTTTGGGTTTTATTTATTCACTTAATATCAACTATGTGAAAATGTGCTACGTTTTAGTGCTGCTATCTTGAAAGAGTCTGATGTCTTTCGCTTTGTCCTCTGCTATGTGTGCATCACTGCTCAGCTCATAATTCTTCCTCAGCCTCTGCAATGCAGCGCCACAAACGCTACCTCCCTGCCCCAACCCCATCCGATTCCGTTGCTCCTTTACGTAAACATGCAGGGAAAATACCTTGCGCTTAATCTTAGTATTGATGAATGTGCACAACATCCCACTTCCTTCCTTTCAGCGACGTTCGAGATGACCTTCATCGTATATTGCAGGTTCTTTTCCTTCCTAATGAAACGGACGGGCCACGTGGGCTTATTTTGTGCTGACGTGGGTATGGATGGAAGGATAATTTTTTTTTTCCACGCCACTGACAATTAGATGAAAACAATAGTGGCAACTTGACTGATGAGTTGAGAGCTTGTTTGCCAGAGAGATGTTCCCTCCTCAGATTCTGTTCCCCCCCCCTTTTTTTTTTAAATTAAAACATTGCTTTTATAGTCCAAGTGTATTTTCCAAGTGAGTCACCAGAGTCGTGAGTGCCAAGGAGAGAGAACATGAGAAGTGAAGCAAAAGGAAGGTTGGATATTGCCTTGCCTGACATTTTTTTTTTAAAAAATGGGATAATTCTCCAATAAAGAAACATTTTCCACAAAAAAGGGAACCCCCCCCCCCCAAAAAATAATATTTACAAGTGTTTTGTTTTTGACAAATCCTTCAACTCACGCTATTTATTTCTTACCGTTAGCCGCAGCCATCAGGGCTTGGAGCTGCTCAGCTTCAGTTGGGGGTTGGGGCCAGGGTCCTGTTCCCATGGCAACCTCGGGTCCTCCGGCAGCTCTACCCATTTGGGAGGAGGAGAGAAGATGAAGGTAAGTCCGACAGTAAATAGTCAGTGGGTCAGGCTTGACATTTTTTTTTTTGTGTTGGTGGCATCGCAGCTGACGAAGAGTGGAGTGCTGATGCGTCAAGCGTGGCAGGCGTGCTTGAACCTTCACACAAAGTCGTACAATATGTGCTTTCCATCGTTCCATTGAGCAAATACTAGTTCAAATATTTAATACTGAGGCTGGCGTCAACATGGGTTGATGCAAACTGATTATTTCCATGTGAGCAAACTCCAGGCAGGCTTGCTTATTCAAAGAGTGCAATTTGCGTGTGGAGGGAACAAAGCAAACCTACAATCTATTTTTTTTCCCACATAGTCACACTAGTGCTGCACGAACGCAAGCTGTGCCACTAACAACTGGGTCACGCTGATTTGTAATCTGGGTTAGACTAGTGATGAACAACAAGCTCACCATAAACAGTCCTGCGCTTCAGAAGAATTAAATGGAAAGAAGATTAACTGGGGGTGGGGGGGGGGGGGGGTTTAGGGCCCCACACC